ACGAAAACCTTCTCCTAACTCCTCGAGCCTCTCACGAGCATCCCCGTCTGAGTTCCTTGGGCTCCCAGCGAAACCCTTCTCCCAACTCATTGGGCTCCCTGCGAAATAACTTCTCATAGCGCCTTGGGCCACCAACAAAAACCTTATCCTGACCCCATCGGGTTCCACACGAAAATCCGCCTCTTAACCCATTCAGCTCCCAACAGAAATCGTATTCGAACTCGTTGGGCCCCATGCGGAAACCTTCTCCTATCGCCTTGGGCCACGAACGAAAACCATATCCTAACTCCTCGGGCTCCTCGCGAAAACCATCATCTGAACTCATTGGGCTCCCAGCGAAGACCTTTTCCTAACTCCGTTGGCTCCCTACGAAAACCTGAGCTTAACGTCTTGGGCCACGGACGAAAACCTTATCCTGACTCCTTGGGCTCCTCACGAGAATGCTCATGTGAACTCCTTGGGCCCTCAGCGAAAACCTTATCCGAAATTCTTGGGCTCCCTGCGAAAACCTTATCTTAACGCCCTGGGCCACTCACGAACACTTCGACCTAACCCGTCGGTCTCCTCCTGGAAATCCTCGACTGAACTCCATGCCGTATCTTAACTCCTTGGACTCCCTTCGAAAACCTGATCCTAAGTCTAAGTCATTGAGGCTCTTACGAAAACACGCTGCGCTAACTCCCTGGGCTCCTCGCGAAAGTCCTCATCTGAATGCCTGCAGCTCCCCGCGAAAACCTTATCCTGACTCCTTGGGCGCCTTGCGAAAACCTTATCCTAACTCATTGTCGCCCTTGCGAAAGCAGTGTGGTGTCCCCCGGGAACCGCTCGAACATGCTCATCTCAACTCCTTGGGCCCCCCCCCCCAGCGAAAACCTTATCCTACCTCAGTGAGCTCCATGCGAAAGCCGTATCCTAACTCCTTGGGGCAGTAATAAAAACCTCATCCTAACTTCCTGGGCTCCTCACGAAAATCCTCGTCTGATCTCCTTGGGTTCCCCGCCGAGACCTTATCCTAACTCCTTGCCTCCCTACGAATGCCTGATCCTAGCTCAATGAGTCCCTTGCGAAAACGTCGTGCTAACTTCTCGGGTTCCTCACGGTAACTCTCATCTGAACTCCGTGGACTCCCTGCGACAACCTTCTCATAACTCCTTGGAACCCACGCTAAAGCTTTATCCTAACGCATCGCCCCCTACGAAAACCTAATCCTAACTCGTTTGGGCCCTTTATGGGAACATCGTGCTAAGTCCTCGGGCTGATTGCGAACATCCTCATCTGAGCTCCATGGGCTCCCCGCGAAACCCTTTTTCAGAACCCCTTGGGATCCCGACGGAAACCTTTTTCCTAACTCATGGGGTACTTGCGAACACATTGTGCTAACTCCTCGGGCCCCTCGCGAACATCATCAACTGAACTACCTAGGCTGCCCGCGGAAACCCTTTTCCTAACTCCTTGAACTCCCTACGAAACCTTATTCAAACTTTTGGGGCACCAACAATCACCTCATCCTAACTCCTCGGGCCCCTGACGAAAATCCCCGTCTGATCTCCTTGGGGCCCTCGCGAAAACCTTATGCGAATTCCTCTGCCTCCCTACGAAAACCTTATCCTAACTCATGGGGCTCCCCCCGAGAACATTGTCCTAACTCCTCGGGCTGCCCGCGATAATCAGCACCTAAGCTCCTTGGATCCCGCGCGAACACCTTATCATAGCTCGTTGGGCTCCGCGCGAAAACAGCGAAACGAAACCAACAGATCGCCGCTCCCAAACGAAACTAGAAATAACCCATTGCAACGGATACGCGCGAGAACAAAACAAACTAAAACGCGCAGCACGCGAAATCGCGTAGCCGGCCCAGTCGTTTACGCAATCGATTAGAACGAAACACAACACGCGCTCAGAACGACAAACACAACAAACATCACAACAAGGCATGTCGAGCGTTCAAGAACGTTTGTTGCCAGCGCTGGCGCCTAGGGGACGTCCCCCCCGCCTCCAAACGAAAAAAAACGCAATGCACTGCAGCAGGTTGTGTGGATGTGTATATACATACTAGACAGAATCGCGCGCGCTCCGCGCACGCTCTGTATCTAGGTAGCTCCAGGCGTTGGGAAGCCCATACTGGTTCAGGTTTGTCCAACTGCCATGTTTACCTTACTCCTATTATGTTTCTGGCTGTCGTCGCCCATCCTGCTTCGTCTTGCCTTCCCATGCCTGCTGTTGTTCCCCCAACCCTGGTCCACATAATGGTCTCCCCGTTCCTCATCACTCTCTCTCCCTCCTGTTGTCATTTCTTCTGAGTCACTCTGCCTTCGACCTTTTCGCTTCCCGCTCCTTGTCATGCCCGTGCGTGCTTGCGCATATACACGACGTCATCCATTCCATTCGCGCGTTCCTTGTGACGGCCTGGGGTCCGAAATCAAGTCCCGATGGCGAAATCGACGACCCGCTTTTCCAGCATGCTTGGGAGTCCGGTGGGCTCACGACGACCCAAGCAACCTCCAAGATGACCACCAAACGGCCCAAGGAGGCCTCGAGACGGCCCAAGGGTGTCCCAAGACGGCCCACAGAGGCCCCCGACAGAGTCCAAGAGGCCCCGAGACAGCCAAGGAGGACCCCACGAGAGTCCCAAGGCGGCCCCGAGAGGCCCCCCAAAGACTGTCTCACAAGGGCCAGACGGCGCGAGAACGCTCCAAGTCGGCCCAAGACGGCCCCACGAGGTCCCAAAAAGGCCCCCACTGACCTCAAGAGGCCTAGGAGTCCACACATGGTCTGGACTGTACGTAGTCTGGGCGTGCACCCCGCGAAGCGAGACGCATCATCTTCGGGAAGTGCTCGACGCGTCGTTCATCGTCTCCTCCTCGTGTGTCGTTCCGGGAATCCACGGCCCAGTGACCAGCGTGCCTGAGTTGTAGGTCATTGGTCTTGTGGGTGCTCGTTGGGATGTCGTGTAAGGATTCTCGGGAGCGCTTTGGAGGCAATTCTGAAGCATCTTGGGCGCTGTTTTGAAGCCTCTTGGGGCGTGTTGGGGGGCTCTTGGGGGCCTCATGAGGCCTTTGCGGGGCTCCTCGGAGCATGTTGGGGCAGAACGTTCGACTTGTTGGTTCGGGCTCTCGCTCTTGAGCCACTTTGGGGGCAGTTTTGGGGCTATCTTGGTATCTCTTGGGCGACTCTTGGGCCGTCTTGGGGCTCTCCAGAGCTGTCTTGTGGCGCTCTTGAAGGCCTCTTGGGCTATCTTGGGGCGGTCTTGGGGGCTCCACGTGCCGTCTTCTCAACGCCGTGAAGGTGGAACAGCCGCATATGATAAACATGCACGCTTACCGAAGGGAATGGGGCCAGTTTGGCGCGCTGGGGCGCTCTTGGGAGTGCTCGTGGAGGCCTCTCGGTGCGTCTTGGGCGGTCACTTGGCACGTATTGGGGCCATTTTAGGCGTCTTGGAGCGGTTCTTCTGCAATTCGCATCCCTCTTGTGCCATCGTCGGGGTTTGGGGGGGGGGCCTGGAGGCTGTCCTTTGGGTCCCTGGTCCTGGCCCCCAGGTATCTGTATGTGCATGTAACGACATACGGATACATATTCATGTGCACAAGCATATACATATGCGTATACATATACCGATACCTGTACCTGTACATAGAACAACGCATGTACCTTTTACATGTGGTTTTAAAAAGGTGTGTCCACAGTCATATACATGCTTGAATATTCGCCAGTATATACACATACATGCATATGCATGCTTTCATATGTACGTATGCAGGTGCATGGACATATGTCGATATACATATATATATGTATATATACAGATGCATACACCTATACACACGTGCATGTGTACATGCATATAGGCATATACACATACATACACGTCTACACAGAGTTGTATGTCTACATATGCATATGTACAACCATATGAATCTATGCATACATTTGCCGACGCACATATCTACAACTATACTCTCACACAGGTATACGTATACACATGCGCATACACGTGTATACACCTATACATCTACACATACGTACATATAAACATTAGACATGCAACCATAAAAAAACATGCACGCCCACTCCTACGTATACGCCTTCTTACATACATATATATATATATATACACGTATAGACATCCCCATGTGCATACACGTATACATACACCCCTGCATGCACAACTACGTGTGTATGTATATATAAATCGAGTTATATATATACATTTGCACATGAAGGTACACATCTCTGTGAACACACCTATCCACACATAGAAGCATACACACATCAATGTATACCTTGTTATATGTACACATACCCAATCACCCCTACGCATGCGCACGTACACAGGGGTATACACATGCATATACACATCCACCTTCATAGAGACATACTATGCACACGCATATATATATATATATATATATATACGTATACATATGCATAGATGCATGTACACACACTTGCACACATATTCATACATACACATGTGCAAATACACACGTATATAGTATAGGCATAATGCACACCTGTATATGCATATGCATATAGACATACAGCACACATATCTATATATATATATACATGCACAGTTGTATATCCATCTCCATATACATACCCATATTCATGTGCATATGTGGGTGTATACAATGATATATATAATACAACTCTACGAACATGCACCTATATGTATACGTATACACGTGCAAGCACATATGCCTATACATTGCATAGTCGCCTACAGTGGCATATGTACACATGCAGACATACACACATAAGTATATACGCTACCACATTTACCACGTACACCATCGACATGTGTACAGACATAAATATATGCATATATCGCCGTACTATCGGAAGGTTCCGAGTGGGCCCTCTTCAGGGGGCCTCTTGGAAGTCTTCTTCGGGCCCCTTCTGGGCCATCTAGGGAGCCCCTTGGGCGGTAGAGTGGTCATCTTGGGCCCATATTGGGCCACCTTGGGCCCATCGTGGCCGTCTGGGGGCGCTCGTCGGGTATAGATTGGCGCGCAGGCGAACTGAGACAGGAGGGCAGCGCTTATCCGGGCGAATCCTCCTTTCATTCCTCCTCCTCCGAAGCAGCAATAACACTTCCAGCAGGCCAGGGCTCTCGGCAACTCAAGCCAGCCTGGGCTAGAGGCATGAGAGAAAAAGACAGGGGCACGTCAGCGAAGCGCTCGAACCACATGTTATGGCGGCAATGAAAGAGAAGGGCACTTCTTATGTGACAGTGAAGAGCCGCCCATCGCAAGCAATGTCTTCTCCCGCTGGACTGCCGCGCACACCCACCATCACGCTTGGGGGGTTCAGACAGTAGCCACGACAACTGCCACTGCTACAAATACCGCGCCCGCCTGGTTCGGTTCTTCACCTGCTCTTTCCAATGCTTGCATACAATCGGCCCGATTGTCCTGCGTCAATCCAGCTAGGAACTTCGCTACAGGAGCTGTCGATGTCGCCCACGATTGGAAAGAATTAGCATCAGCGCCCAGAGGCACAGTGACCCAACTGCGCCAAGCAGTCACCTCCTTGAAGCCAGCGTGCAGTAGTTTGGCTTTGAGCTTCGGTATATCACGACCCAAAACAAGTCCTTCTCGCTGAGGCCCAGGTGGCATGCCGAAAGGCCGCAACGTCTCAGCGACGAGGTGGAAGGCAGTATCGCCAGGAAAGTCTGCGATGCGCATGGACATTGCGGCTACCCCGCCAGGTGCTAATACACGTCTGGCTTCTTGGAGCTTGGCATCAAGGTCGGTCACACAGCAACAACCAAGATTCGACATGTATCTGTCAAAAGTACCAGAAGCAAAAGGCAAGCTAGTAGAGTCTGCCAACATCACTTCTGCTTTCCCGCTTAGGCAGTCAGCTGCTGCGGCCAACATCGCTGGGCTGAAATCACATGCCGTGTAAGACGCCACCGCAGCGAAAGGCAAGATACGTGACGCTGCGAGACCATTACCACAATGGGTCTCCAGCACTTTCAGTTTAGAATCGGAGCCATCGTGGCGCTGGCGATCGAACAATCCAAGGTGGATAAAAAGGCTGTGAGCCAGCAAAGCCGTGGCTGGGCTCATGTGCTTGACGTACCAGTCCCGCTGCGCATCCCATGCTGCCACTGGCGGGGGCCCACCTGCAGCCGCGCCTGGGACACCACAGCACTGGCCCACCAGTTGACCCTCGCAGACTTTTTTGCAAGGTGACTCAACCATCGAAAAAAAGAAGGGATGCGACCAGCAGACGAACGCCAGAAGAACGACGTGGATTGATCCCAAATACCTACGGGCAGTGCAAGCTTCGTCTCTGATTGTGCGCCACACGATGAGATTCTTACGGGTGTTTCCACGTCCGCTGTGACACCATCCGGCGGATAGAGAAAAATAAGCGCCACGTCAAGGGATGGGAGGGATCGGATGTCAGATCTGGCGCCAGCGCACCAAGCTTGCCCTTCTACAAGTACATATTCTCAACAAAAAACTGGTATCCTCTCTCCCCTGACTCTGTCCGGAAGATGCCCCGCCCTCTCCGCGTACTGTTTTTTGCACACAGGGTTGGAGAACAAGTGACTTCTCTGATGGTTGTGTGCATTCCGATTGTTATCGGTGGTTCAGCCTGGTGTTCCCGCTGCAGCGCGGGCCTCATTTTCGAGTCGTCGCTGACAGCGACTCGCTGTGCTCCAGTCGTTCGGAATCGCGCTCTCGCCCCTGCGAGGGCCAATTTTCTGGTTCCCTTGTCAATCGTTTTCATTCCTCCCTCCGCCTTCCTCTGGTCCTCCTGGTCCTCCCGCTCCTTCCACTCCAGCTTCTGCTTCTGCTGCTGGTGGTCCTCGTCTACTTCCTTCTTTACAGCTTTTTCCCCATTAGGCTTGCCTAAGGGATTCCTACTTGGTTAAAGGCTGCTGCCTCCTAATATCTCGTTGCCCGCTGCTTGAAGGTTCCTCGGGTTCCCCGGGTTCCCCGACCCCGGTGCCTCCTATTGTTACGTTGCCCGTTCCCCTGGGGTTCCTCGGGTTCCCCGGGTTCCCCGCCCCTGGTATGTCAAGCAATGCGAAGCAAAGCAATGCCAAGCAATGCGAAGCAATACCAAGCAATGCCAAGCTCCAGTTCAACGGGTTCACCGCCCCTGGTGCCTCACGCCAAGCATGCCAAGCAATGCCAAGCAATGAAGCAATGCACAACAATGCCGAGCAATGCGAAGCAATGCCAAGCACTGTCAAGCAATGCCAAGCACTGCGCCCATGCAATAGAACAATTTCCCATAATTGGGGTCTTTTCCATAATTGGGGTCGGGCCGGGTTCTTTTCCTCCTGCTCGTCCTCCTCGTCCTCCTGCACCTCCGCCTCCTCCGCCTCCTCCTCCTCCTCCTCCCCTCCTCCTCCTCCTCCTCATCATCCTCCTCCTCCTCCTCCTCCTCCAATGTCTTGTTCTGATTGCGCATAACACGATGTCCCCTTTGGAGTTCCAGGTCCCCTATGGTACGCGTCGGCGGATAGAGAGCAACAGCGCAATGGCAAGGGACGGGTGGGAGCAGGAGAGCGTCAGATATGGTGCGAGTGTCCCTACGGTGAGGGCATTGGATAAGGAGCCCTTAGATAAAGAGCACAGGTCTGGAAGCTGGTGCAACACCAATTGGGGCTTGACCATGGAAATCACTGCCGCCTTTACCAGGTAAGGAACCCTCCAAGGTCTGGAGCCTCCTGGGCACATTCCTTAACCAACGCCCCCGCCGTAGCCTGCCTCTCTACAATTAGCATTTGAATACTACCCCCTTCTCTTCCCTGACCCCGCCTGGAAGACGGCACGCACATGACTCCGAACATTAATGCTGGTCACGGCTGCTTTCCACTCCGCTGGCTGCACCGCGGGCCTCACTTTCGGATCGTCACCGTGCTCCCGTCGCTCAGGCTGGCGCGCTCTCGCCCCATGCGTGGACCACGCTTCTGGATCCGAGTCCGTTTTCATCGGTGTCGCCCCCCTCATTCCCCCTCCTCCGCCTTCCCCTGGTCCTCCTGCGTCTCCCGCTCCCTCCGCTCCCATTCCTGCTGCGGCTGTTCGTCCTCGTCCTCCTCCGTCCCCTTCATCCTCCTTGCCCTCCTCCTTTTCCTCCTGCTCATCATCCTGCTCACCTGCCATCTCCTCCTCCTCCTCCTCCTCCTGCTCGTCCTCCTGCTGCTCCTCTGTGCGCCATTCCCATATTCCGATTGCGCAATTGGGAAGGGATGGGAGGGATGGTATGTCAGATGTGGCGTGGGGGCGCCTAGTTTGCCTCTCTGCCCTCTCCCCTCTCCCCGCTGCTCTCTCCTCGCTCTCCTCTCCCCTCTCCTCTCTTCTCCGCCTCTCTCCTCTCCTCCCCTCTCCTCTCCTCTACTCTCCTATCCTATCCTACCCACAGTGCCCTGTCCTAACCTACCCTATCCAATCTCTCTCGCTCTCTCTCTCTCTCTGTCTCTCGTCCTCTCCCTCTCTCTCTCTCTCTCTCTCTTTCTATGTCTCTCTCTCTCTCTCTTTCTCTCCCTCCCCTCTCGCCCTTCACCGACCTTGCACTCCGAGACGCAATTTTCCCCGCCAGCTCCGCGAGGTGTTCCTCGAGCTCACACGGCCGCTGGCCCGCCCACGGGCCAGAACCCAGGAGGGAAGATGGGCCAGGCAATCCGGGCACGCCGTGCGAGCTGCCCTGCCACAGTCGAGCTCGGGCGACGACGCGCCACGGGCTGCGCCGTGCGTCTGCGTCCGCCGAGGCGCCAGCGACCAGGGACGTCTCTCGCGCGAGGGCTTGAGGCGGGAGGAGCGAAGGGGAAGGGGGGGGGGGGCAGGGAGAAAGAAGGACCAACGTCCTAACTCGCGGTCCGCCTCCTCCTCCTCCTCCTCCTCCTCTCTTCCTTCTCTCCTCCTCTCCTCTTCGTCTCCCATCCTCTCCTCCTCCTCCTCCTCCTCCTCCTCCTCCTCCTCTCCTCCTCTCATCCTGCTCATCCTCCTGCTCCTCCTCCTCCTCCTGCTCATCCGTCACCTCCGCCTCCTCCGCCTCCTCCGCCTCCTCCGCCTCCTCCTCCTCCTCCTCCTCCTCCTCCTCCTCCTCCTCCTCCTTCTCCTCCTCCTCCTCCCCCTCGCCCTCCCCGAGCGCCCCCTGGGGCGACCCCCGAGGAGCCACACGTGCCACGGTGGTCCCGCTGTCTGCCGCCGTGCTCTCGCACACCCCTTGGGCGAGCTGCGTCTGCTTCCTGCCTCTCCCTCGCTTGCTCCCCACTGGCCTGGGTGCACTTCCCTGCCCCCTTCAGCGAGGCGGGGCGAGCGAGGAGAGGAACCAGGAGGCCAGCTTGAGGAGAAAACGGGCGTTGAAGGGCAGAGCCCCCGGCTCCTCCCCTACGGGCTACTCCCTGGTTGTCATTCCCTCGTTGCAGAGCCTGTTCTGGCTGCACACTTCTCGGCTGGTAGTTGTTGATTGCGTCGCCTGAGTCAGCTTCATTTGTTCATACGCTTCTTGACGCAACGGCGAGGAGAAGGAGGAGGAGGAGGAGGAGGAGGAGGAGGAGGTGGAGGTGGAGGAGGAGGAGGAGGAGGAGGAGGAGGAGGAGGAGGAGGAGAGGAGGAGAGAGGCAGGGGGGGAGAGGAGGAGGAGGAGGGGAGGAGGAGGAGGAGGAGGAGGAGGAGGAGGAGAGGAGGAGGAGAGAGAAAGAAGAAGAAGGGGGAGGAGGAGGAGGAGGAGGAGGAGGAGGAGGAGGAGAGGAGGAGGAGGAGGAGGAGGAGGAGGAGGAGGGGGAAGCACCGACTCAAGAGGGAAAGGGTAGCGTTGGGATGAGAGGATGAGGTGTTGAGGCGGGGGTGTTGGGAAACCTTGCCGTTGTGCGCTCCTCTATGCCCATGCGGATGTCTCGACTTGTCTGCGTCTCGTTGTCATTATTGTTCTTATGGTGCACGCACTGTTTGGTACAGTGTTTGTGATCACGCATGTGCATTCCCTCTTTTAGCACGTGCATTCAGGCGCAGCCATCCAGCCAGAGTCGGTCTAACGTAAAAGGAGGAGGACAAGACAAGTCGAGACATGACTCGAGCCCAACACGTCGTCAACGGATTGCGCTAAACATACTACCAAACTGCACAGTTTTCTGGCACTGGCATCAGTCTAGCTCTGGGGCAGTCGAGGGCGAGCCCCCTTCACTCACAAGTGAGCACGCGCCGACAAGCGCTCTGGTACTGTGGGCCCCCCCCCCTTGCGCTCTGGCAAGCTAGGGGCTCACGTGCACTCGGAAGTGGTAGATATTTTTTCCCCTGCAAACAGATCCATTTCACTTCACTCGGAAGTGGTAGCTATTTCGCAAGGTTGTTCTTCAGCACGGTCGCGACCTTTGCAGCGCTGGGGGCGAGGTCACGCGTCAGGGCGAGGCGTGGGCAGACGGCTGTCGGGCGAGGGAACCTACAGTAGGCACCACAATGCCTGATCGTACGCAAGGCTGGCACCAAACATCCCGCAATGCTTATGCCACTTTTTCCGTCGGCGGGGAGGTGGAGGCGATCCGCACCGGCGTCTGGCTAATCGGGGGCACCGATCGGCAGATTGTCCGGCGTGCAAGAGAATGAGAGGGAGAAGAGGGCGGCCGCAACCCAGAGATCCGATGTCGTGATTTTTTCAATACGGGGTCCCCAGAAGTCTCGGCCCATTCCCCAGGGCTGGTTTTTCATCCTGAGTCGTTATTTGACGGTCCCGAGGCCCGGCGAGGGCCCCTAGGGGCCGAAATGTGCGAAAAGCCTCCGTCTTGTTTTGTTTCCAATGCATTGGATCTCTGGGAACGCTTATGTAGCAGTCTCTCTGTCGCTGCGCCGCGACGGTTGTGGATGCCACGACAATGAACACCCTAACAGTCCGATCATTGAATTTACAATGTGTTCAAAATGTCGGAAAATATTTAAAGCATGTGTTTAAGCATGTTTTTTCTTACATGTTTAAAGCATGCTTGACACATGTTGTAGACATCTGGAAATGATTTGGCAACATGCTCCCTCTCCATTGATCGTCCTCCACAGCGCGACGGTGACCCCCTGTTCCGCGGCCCACGGCCCCGAGACCTCTGCCGCGCGCGCAGAGGTGGGCGAGCGGGTGGCGGGCCAGGGGCGCGGCGCGCGAGCGCCGGAGCGCCGACCGGAGGGCTCCCGAAAGCGGCTTTTGGTGCGCCGCGTGTCCTCGACGCGCCCCAGTGGACGACGCCGACGCCACGGCAGACCCGCGGCGAGCCCCGGCGGCCGAGGCGCCCTCCCCGAGACGCAGGGCCGCGCGTCGGCACAAGCGGCACGGCGACTTCTGGCCGGAGGGATCCAAAGGAGTTTTTTTTGGGGG